CATCACTATGTTATCTAGAGGTTTTGAAATTCAGCGCAGTACCAGACTGACGTCGAGATCTCATTAATTTACAGTTGAGCTGGCTTAGATATTAGCTGTAAATTCTATGCCAAAAAATATTTCCTCTCTCAGACTTCTCACTTAAGGAACTCACTTCCGATTTCATGTTTTCAAGCCAAATTTAATCTGCAGAATTTTGAATGCGATGTCAATCGCTATCTACTGTCTTCCTGATTATTTTCTTCTTTCTTCTCATCCTTATTTTTTCTGTTTCTAATTCTTCCAAACACTTAACTCCTCGTGTTTTAGGGGTATTACTGCCTTGTGTGTGGTAATACTGGTTAAAATAAGAAAAAATATAGTGGAATTATTATTTTATGTCGACCACGGGATTAAGTAAAATAATGCAAATGGAGATGATTTTTTTTCTAACAATGGTCTTTAGATATGAAATGTTATGTTCGTAGCATTTTATAAGAATATAGGACTAAAACCTTCGTAGGTAAAATAAATTGTTAGTCACTTCTAGACTCCCAGAAATTAGCGTCGGCTAATGACCTGGTTTCGAGGGACTAAATTCATCTTTTTTTCATCTCATGAGGATGTGAAGCAATCTACTTTCAATTCAAATTGAATTAATTTCCTCTTAATTTGTCTTGCGTGTGTATCTCATAAGTTCTGCTGGGTTGGTTTTCAGATTATATCGGTAAATCCACAGACATCTTGAAGGTAAGAATCTCTACAAGATGGCTATGTTGGAACTTTCAAAGTTTTTTTATGTACTGATGCAACACACAATAAAATGCTTACTTTGGTATCTCTTAGAATGGACTTAGTATATATTCGTCCATGGCCCATCGCGAAGCTGACGTTTATGGTCTGTATGTGCCCAGGAGGAGGCAGAGGATTAGTTCAACTAGAACTGTCTTAAAAAATACAATTGGCCTTCAAAGATACCTAGAAACTACAAAAGTTGATGATATGTGTCAACCAACATGAACGTAGTAAACGACTTTATTTAGTAATAAAGGAAGTCAACAATTTCAAAATGTAGTTTCAAGTGGGTGAAGAAATACAAGTAAAACAACTGAAGCTGCATAATTCTTAAAAAGGAAGCAAAGTCAAATGCAACCGAACAGATACAGAAACAATTGCAAGATAAACCGCTTCACGGTCAATACTCTGCCCGTATCAAACAATCTGATGTAAACAGACCCCGTACCCATCATTACCTGTGTAATCAGGGTTAAAAGGTTTAATTCTTGCTGCACAAGACCAATGCTTGCTAACTAGAAGTTACAGGGCATATGCATACTGAAAAATTGTGTTCGCCCAAAATGCAGATTGTTTTAGAAACAATTGGCCATCTCCTATCAGGCTGGGCGGGATTGGCACCCACTGAATAAAAAAAAAAAAAAAAAAAAAAAAAAAACAGCACGACAGAGTGGGACAAAATCTTCACTGGAAAATCTGCAACACTTACGGAAAGGAAACTGCAAAAATTGGTATGAACACCACCCATTCCCATTTACATAGACAGGCCCTGTAATAATTTTATGGGAATTTACAATGCACACAATCAGATCAATCAAAGCTAATCGCCCTGAGATCGTGGTCAGAGAACGCAAAGACAAAGCTTGCCACCTTATTGATATGCAGTCTCTGCAGATTGCAATAAATCTTTGAAAATCTTAAAAAAAAATCTATCAAAATACAAAGACTATGAAATCGAAATCTCAAAAATATAGCGCATTAGGACATTCACAATTCCAATTGTAGTTGGAGCCCTCAGATTGATTGGAAAAGATTCCAATATGCTCATTGAAGGTCCCCTTGGTAGTCCATGCCTTAAAGAAATACAAAAAAAAAATTGTACTCACAAGTACAGCGCACATTTCAGGAAGGGCTTTATCTATGTAAAAGATAAGTGATTTTTTTAAAAACATTTCAGTGAAAAATGCCATGATGGCATTTCTGATCTTAGGTATCTGATCCGAACTCAGAATGATACGGGTATATACCAGAAACAAGAGGAAATAATAATAATAATAATAATAATAATAATAATAATAATAATAATAATGATAATAATAATAATAATAATAATAATTATTATTATTATTATTATTATGTTAAATATAAAAAGAAACATGACAAGAAAAAAGTTACCAATCACATATACATATGTCCTGTTTTAATATAAATTCGATTCTTAACAATTTTTCTCATCATGCTTCTATTTTATCTGTTGGCCTAATAATATACAGGATACGGTCGGTAAATTGTCGCCATTTTATATTTTTTATTACGTGCATGCACGTTATTTTTATTTTTTATTTTTTGATTTTGTCGACGGCACAGTATTGTAGAGTCAGATGGACACAATCTGTAAAGAAAAGTGCACCATGATGCAATTCACTCCACCGGAAATTCGTAAAAAAGCATGCTTACTGCTTGGCATTCGCACCAGAAGCTCCAATACAAATATTTCAGAGGGATTGTGTGTAAATCTGAGGACAGTGCAGAGAATTTGGAAAGCGGTTGATAAGTCTAATGGTGATTACAAAAGTGTTTAGTGTGATCACTAGTAATGGCGATGTTATGAGTCCATTCATCTTCCCAGGATCGAGAGAGAGAGAGGCTGCTGAAAGATCATATATCTGGCCGCAGGACCCTGCACTATGCCCCACGCGCAGGAGAAGGCAGTCATGGCTGTCAGACTATTTCTGTCCATGCATCACCCCTTACATCAGGTCACCTAACTCCCCAGACTGCAACCGCCTTTATTATTATGCGTGGGGCGCATTTGAGCGAGCATCCAACATCCAACAATATTGAATAAATTTACCTTTATTATTTCAAGATATTTTTGTGTAGTTTTGGTAAATATATCTGTTAAAATGATATATCAATGTTATTTTCATTTTAGCGTAACTTAGACGACAATTTATCCATCGCACCCTGTATAATATATTTATTTATTATTACTATTATTCTGATGTGGCACATTGACGTAGTCAGTGAAAATTCTGTTCTTGAAGTATAGTTTAAACAATGCTCCTTAAAACTCGAAACATTTCTGTAAATCCTAGCGTGGTATGACATTTTCTATGGAGAAAGTTTAGTTTTTTCTGTCATAACTGATTTCGCCGTTTTCGAAAATTTTGGTCTGCTGATTTGCACCAGGTCTTCAACTGTAGAATCTGAAGAACTAACATCTTCGGTGATACTCTCAAGAATCAATTTTGAAATAGATGTTCTGATATGGCCCTTACTTCAATCACTTTTATCACTTCTGAATAACATTCCCAAATCAAAATGCAGACCACCACCAAACATGGATAAAAATGCCTACCACACACACACACACGCATACATACACAAACTAAGACACGCATCCACACAAAAATACCCATTACCATTCGAATCCTGCATCAAAAAATAGAATTACGATACGCATAAAGATAGAAAAAATACACACGAACGCTAATTGACAGACAAATTTAGAAAAGTTTACACTTTGTTTTTTTTATTATTCTATTAGACACAGAATTTGTAAAGATTCATTTAAACTTGCGTTACTCATTTATACACTGGTGAACTTATCCCAAAGAACCTAAGGTAAATGTAATTCATACTGAGACCAAGATAAAAGCACGGATAAATCTTCTAACTTTCAGGCGCTCTAATCGACCTGAACCTAAATGATCTAAAATGACCTTAACATCCACTCCTACATGGTCATAGCGTCACTAATTGAGGAGGATTCTGAGTCACTTGCATCAATCAAACTCAAAACTTTATACTTCAGTCTGAGCTAACCTATCTGGTTCAGTTTGACTCTAACACTTATACTCCAACCTGACCCTAACATTCATAATCCTAAATGATCTTATATTTCATTTTCCAATTAGATTTAAACAGCTTCTCGGCTTCTTTTCAAGGTTTGGCTTTTTTCCAATCTTGTCCTAGTTTGTTTTAAATAATCATATATGCTTAAAGATTTATAATTGAATAAGGAACAGATCAGAGAATCTTTATAAAATTAAGTTCTTTCGGTGTTTATTTAGCTTCGGCAGCCATTTTGATAATGAAACACTGGGTAGATATACTTCAATTTTTCATATCTATGTTGTATTGTTTTCAGCGATTCTGGAGATATTAGTTTTATATTGCATGGCGTTAGTGTTTATGGCTACCGGCAAGAGGACGCGAGGGCGACGTCATCTTCGCTTCAAGGACGTCTGTAAAAAAGAACATGGACGTCGAGAGATGGGTAGGCGTTGAGAGGCGGGAAGGCATTTACCAGTGATCACTGACGGTGGAGACGCGATTTAAAGCAACCTCTGGAGTGAAGAAACGGAGGCTGGACGCCGGTGAGAAGCGTACTCGATGGGAAGAAAACAATGCATTGAAATCGGGGAAGAGCGTCTTTACATTCGTTTTAATCGAGACTGTCATTCCCGTGTGGGCCTGTACAGTCATATTAGATGTTGCAGATTCATGGTTTCTCAAAGCCGAGGAATGCCACACAAGAGTGTTGATGTATGTATCAATTTTGAACTTGTGTATCTTATTCTCATTGTTTTTTTGTGACCGTCAGGTGTATTGACCATGGCTTATGCATATATGTATAAGTGTTTATGTTTATTTCTATATCTGGAAATGCTAAGCTAATTTAATTTCTTAGTAACATAATGGTATATCCCTTCCTTAGATGTCCTGCGTGGTACACTCTTGGGTGATCATGTCACATTTCGTTACATCATTGACTAGACAGTAAAATTACTGCAGTGGGCGACCATTACTTTCTGTGGTAGCATGGTTGACAACCAAGGTTATAGGAACCAGTTTATCCGGCAATTTAACCCATAGTTAGGGGAGGACAAAGGATGAAATCATATCTTTGCCAGGGGTACTTGTGCGAAAGTGAATACAACAATCTCGACTGGAATTCGACCTCGGCTCTCTGATCCATTACTCCATCCGCACATCCAAGTTTACAGCAACTGGTATTTCCAAGCGGTCACTCATCTAGGTACTGACCAGATTTGAGGTTGCTTAACTTCGGTGAGCTGACGGGAACCATTGTTTGAACGTGATGTGGCCATAAGCTTTATAGTATGCTATTTTATACTATTTGCGTGATAAGTATGCCGAATTTTTGAAGTGAATATGTAATACTTTGTGACATCATGAACAAATATTTGGAGGTTTTAGTCTTTAAATGTAGGTTTTACAAATATTGCTAATATGAAGAAGTGCGTTTGATGGGTATTTTTTTTTTGCTTATTATTGTTTTATTATTATTTTTTTACTTACTAGTTTTTTTTCTAAATATTTTATCCCTAATAGTTTTTTTTTTTTTGAAAAACTGAAGCCGTACATTTTAAAATGGAAATTACAGCATCTTTTGTTCCTATATAATACTAAGTTTATACCAAGGGAGGTTATTTCTGTGGCCATAAATGCTAAGCTCTACATTTCTTGATACGTCACTTACGTCTCTTATGGAATTACAGGTAGGCTATCTTATTTGTACCAGATTCCGAGGAATTGTTGATCTCATATTGTTTGCTGACCAAATCTTTGATTTTTTGGGGGACTTTACAGAATTATATTTGTTTACTCCATGTCAGCCAAGACTGTCAACTCGCTTAGATTTCCGGGATAAAAACGGGGAGTTATAATACCCAATGCCTGTAACCAAGATTTAATAGAAAAAAAAAAAGAAAAAAAGAAATGATTATAAAAGTTTCATAAAAAGAAAATTCTTAAAATCGTAAAATTCGAATTCAATTATTCAAGAGTGTTTGCTTTAATAAACTTAGCAAAAGATCTGTGGTTTAGAAATGAATGTGTTGTGATTTTTTTTCTGACATTGAAATTATCTTTAAAAAAAAAGCTGCTAAAAAGGGGGTAAAATTATAATCAATAATACAATAACTGTTGTCGAAATTTGTATTTCATTTTATTTGCTTGTCAGTTGCAATAATCACAAAACTTCATCAAAATTTGTTTGTATTTCAACAGCAAATTGGAAATGTTTTTTTTCATTAATCTATTTTAAATTATAATTTTTAGAAAATGATTTACAATGTTATGCTTAAATTATTTGTATTTTTTTTACGATTTTCGTGAAATTATTTGTATTTTTTTAGTTAGGGTGGATTTAATGTGCGTCTTTTTTAGTTGCTTTCTTCTTTCTTTTCTTCTTCTTATGAAGCCTGCAAGTTTTAGGATAGTTTTAAGCGTCTATCGTCAATAACATCAATATTTTTTCTTCCCTTATTCCAAGATTATAATGTTTATCCCTTTTGGGATGCAGACTAATAATGTGCACGTCAAAATCAACAAAAAGCCTTCGCAGGTTTGTGTATTTTGCATTTTAGTTTTATATTTCGATTTCTTCACATCTTTCTCTTTTTTTAACATTAAAAAAAATATCATTTCGTCTCACTAATATTTTTTGTCGTCTGTTTTCTTCATTCTGTTTCCACTCCAGGGATTATGTTACACTTCTTCTTTGAGTGAAGCTTTTTTTTCCTTCACTAAACGTTTTGACTGAAAGAATAGGCAACAAAAATAAAAGGTAAAAATAATTAAGAAGAAAGTGAATTTGAGAAACAAAAAGGAAAAAGAAAATATATAGAAACACGTTGAAAAGAAAGGAAAATGAAAACGCTAGTTATTATTTCTTCATCTTTTAAATGCGCCTTGCCATTAGTTTTCAAAATGCCGCCCTTAGCAGTCTCTGCTCGATCCCAAGTAACTTTCTATTTATAGAATTTACATTATCGGCATGTGGAAATACTTGTTTTCAATAACCTTTCTTCTTCGTCTTTTTCTTATTCTTCCTTTTCTTCTTCTTCTTCTTCTTCTTCTTATTATTATTATTATTATTATTTTCATCTTATTATTATTTTATTATTATTATTATTTTCTTCTTCTTCTTAATCTTCTTCTTATTATTATTGTTATTATTTCTTCTTCTTCTTCTTCTTCTTCTTCTTCTTCTTATTATTATTATTATTATTATTTCTGCTATGGACACACTACCTACCAAGTCTGCGGAAAGACCCTAAGGCAGGTCGTGGTGTGTTGTTATGGCCACATTTCATGTTAATTTTTTTTTTTTTTTTTTTTATCTCCGATGAAGTTGCTAGCGTTACATAGACAAAGTTCTCCTTAGCGTGTGTGCTGTACTTAATAAGACAATTTTCTGTATGTCTCTCTTAAGCTGGGGTTTCAGGGATTCTTTCAATGTGTTGTTTTGTTCCATTTTTTATAATTCCAAGTGCACCTATTACCACTGGTATTATTCTTGTTTTCAATTTCCACATTTTTCTATTTCAATTTCAGGTCTTTGTATTTTGATAGTTTTTCAAATTCCTTGGTTGCTATGTTACAATCCGCTGGACAAGCCATATCAATTAGTAGGCAAGTTTTTTTTTTCTTTCTGTTTTTGACAATAATGTCCGGCCTATTTGCTTCAATTTTTCTGTCTGTGTGGATGGTATAATCCCATAGAATGGTGACATCTTCTATTTCTGTAACCGGCGCTGGCCGATGTTCATACCAGTGTTTGCTTACACATTTTCCAAAGTGTTTGCACATTGTCCAGTGTAAGTATTGCCCCACTCTATCGTGACGATTTTTATATTCATTTGGGGCAAGTATAGAACATCCTGAGATTAGATGGTCTATTGTTTCTTGGTATTTGTCACAGAACCTGCATTTTGGATCCACATTATTATGTATGATATTTGCCTGAAAATTCCTAGTGAAAAGACCGGAATCACAGCAATTTTAATTAAGTATAAACTCACCAAAAATTATTTTAGGAAATATAACTGCAGATAGTCTGGTAAGTTTATGTTTAATTAAAATTACTGAGCATCCAATGACGTTGTTGTTTGCAGATAATTGTTCTGGGTGATGTTCATATCCATTATTTATTGTTGGTAAGGAGTCCTACTTTCAAATGTTCAATCTAGATATTTATCTCCTAATAAAATCTTCATTATTTTCGAATTTTGTTCAAACGGAGCAATCATAAAGAAAATATTTCCACATGTTATTTACTCTATTTCCATGTTCGGACTCTTGCCTTCATATTTATTGTCATATTCACGACGTTTCAGCCGCTGTACGCTCCGGCCTTCTTCAGGTGGTATAAGTTGGAATTTCGGACCAAACCCTTTATTTCGTCAACCGGCCCAGCAGATAAAAGTGTTGGTTGAAGTAATGTAGTGACTTGACCCAACGAGGGACCTAAGGTTAGAAATGGCATCATGACACTTTCCACTGGCAAAAAAAAAAAAAAAAAATAAAAAAAAAATTACATAGATAAAGCGCTTCGTAAAGTGTGGGCTGTACTTGTCAGAACAATTTTTGTATCTCCTTGAGGCATGGACTTCCAGGAACCCCTTCAATTAGTCTACTGCAATCTTTTCCAACCAGTCTTAGGGCTCCAACTACAACAGGGATTGTTGATGTTCTCATATGCCACATTTTCGAGATTTCTATTTCAAGGTCCTTGTATTTTGACAGCTTTTTGAATATCTTCAAAGATACATTGCAGTCAGCAGGGACTGCCATATCAATAAGGAGGCACCGTTTTTGTTTGTGGTCTTTAATAACAATATCTGGGCGGTTGGCCTTGATTGTTCTGTCAGTGTGTATTGTGTAGTCCCATAGAATTGTAACAGGTCCTATCTCCGTAACCGGGTCTGGGTGGTGTTCATACCAGTTTATTTCAGTTCCCTTCCCGTAGAAGTTGCAGATTTTCCAGTGCAGATATTGGCCCACTCTGTCATGTCGGGTTTTATATTCAGTGGGTGCCAACAGCGTGCAACCTGATACAAGATAATCAATCGTTTCTGGATATTTATCACAGAATCTGCATTTTGGGCTGACACAATAATTTAATATATGTGCTTGATAATTCCTAGTTAGCAAGCAATGGTCCTGCGCAGCAAGGATAAAACCTTCAGTTTCCGCTTTCAACCCTGCACTACGTAGCCACTGATGGGTACGGGTTTTGTCTACGTCAGCTTGTTTGGTACGGGCAGAGTATTAGCCATGAAGCGGTTTATCTTGCCATCGCTTCTGTATCTGGTCGGTTGCATTCGTCTTTGCTGTCTTTTTAAAGTATTTTGCAGTTTCAGCCGGTGTATTGTGTTGTAGTTGCATCTCTACGCCCATTTGAAACTCCATTTTGAATTTGTTGGCTTCTTTCATTACGCAGTATAGACGCTTACTACTTTCGTGTTCCTTGACGCATACCATCATCCAGTCTTCTGTAGTTTCCAAGTATCTTTGGAGGTCAATTGTTGTAGTTTTGTAGGACAGTTCTAGTTGAACTAATCCTCTGCCTCCTTCGGATCTGGGCACAAACAGACGATCAACATCAGCTTTGGGATGATGCATGCGATAGCCAGTGAGAAGCTTTCTCGTTTTGGCGTCCATTCGCTTAATTTCAGCTATGGTCCAGTTAAGGACATTAAAGCTGTATTGCACCACAGCGACAGCCAATGTGTTTATGGTTGATATTCTGTTTTTTGAGTTTAGCTCAGTATTTAGTACCAGACGTACACGCCTTTAGTACTCTTTTCTTATTTTTTCCTTCATTTGGGGGGTGTTGTATGCCATCTCCTTCGCTAATTCCTAGGCACTTATAAGTTTCATCATGCTTCTGTTCTCTAATCTTTGTGACAAAATCTAAATCTTTTAAGGGTGTTTCTGTAATTCTACCTTTCTTGAATGTTACTTTTGCACATTTATCTAATCCGAAGTCCATACCTATATTGTCACTGAAGTATTTTACAATATTGAGGAGGCCTTTCAACTCATTGTCGTCTTTGGCAAAGAGTTTGAGATCATCCATGTAGAGTAGGTGATTGAATATTTTCTTATTTATTTTGTAACCATAGCTACTGTTGTTCAGTTCATGTGTAAAGAGGGTTAAGGATAAACAAAACAGAAGTGGTGACAGAGAGTCTCCTTGAAAGATTCCACGTCGGATATTAAGACGGTTGGATATGACAGTGCCCCCGGTGTGACTAAGGTATAGTTTGGTGTTCCACATTCCCATGCTGTGCTTAAGGAAA